AGTGGTAATCCTTAGTATATTTGATCACTTAAATCTATGTATATTTGTTCTATGAAACAACGGTATGTGTCCTCTGTCTTTCAATAAAATGGGCATAATTTAAAGAAGAAAAAAATGAGGGTAATATACTATCCAGAGTGATAAGCAAAAGAACAGGCCCAACGGTTGCAAGTATATAAAACCATAACTGTATCTTAAAATCATGTGTATAATGAAAGAAAAAAAGAATCAGAAAAAATAACCCAAAATACTGAGAGTGTTGGGATTATAGGTTCTTTTTTTCTTTTGCTTTTTCCCTAATTCTCATAATGGCAAAATACTATTGTAAGAGGCACTTGCTTTTGTTTTAGAGACAGAATTTTGCTGGGTAGACCAGGCTGGCTCTGACTGCTTTCCTCACAGGTGGCCTCAAACATTCATGTTTTCATCCTAATTCCACAAGCATGCGCTGCCATGTCCAGCTAGATACCCGTCGGGATGATTTTACATTATTTTCAACTTACTTCAACATCCATCATATTATCTGATATGTATAGCAATGCTTTACATGGAACTCATGTTAAATAATCTCATTTTGTGGATTGCCAGGCTAAGGTAAGTACATTTATGACTTACACAGCCGCTGGAGGTCAAACCCACAGTGGGCAGATCTCAGACCTACTATGTGCTGCTAACACCAGGGTTTTCCTGACCTCATCTCAGATTTCTGGGGCCCCAAGGATCTCCTCTCTGAAGTGGGGACAGCTGCTAACTAGATTTGGCCCTGTTGTCTAAAGTCAATGTTTGTATACAAGATGTCTTCAAAAGATCCAGTCCCTGCATTGGCTAAGCTCCTCTGTGGCTGGGTACCACCATGAGTTAAAGTTAGAAAGTGTTGAGAGAGAGGCGGGAAATAGAGGCTGGGCTGTGTCCTAGAATCTGATCGGACAGCTCTTCTCAGCTGTAGTTTCCTGAGAAATGTGACTGCAGAATGAGTTAGTCGTTGGGCCACATAGCAGCTTTCCCCAGAGCCAACTACCTCTCCTGGCTCAGAAATCTACAGGGCAATCAATGGTGTGGTCTGGGGAAGAGGGTCTCCGTTTCAGGACCCCCTGACCCCTGAGTCCAGCCCAAGAGACCTCCACAACAGTACAATGGAAACCCTGGGAAGAAGACCTACCCTTCTCAAGATAGCAAAGGCAGAGCCAGGGGGGCACTGGAATCCCCAGACCAGCCCAGGGTGGTTTGTGGCCATTTACCACCATCATCCAGCACCCAGAAACCCAGGGTCTGATTAGTAGTTGTGGGTGGAGAACAAGGCTTACTCCTGTTGCTTTTTTTTCTGGGAAGCCCACCTCATGACTGTCACTCTGGGTATTTCGGATTCTCGATGATGAAGAGGACAGAGGGTATCCTGGAAAGTCTTCCTGATCCACAATTACAGGACACTATTACCGAAGACTCCAACTGAGAGCCTCCTTCTCAGGCACTAGGTGCTACTGTTTGCACACCCTTTTCAGTGTGGGAGAACACTGAAACCTGGACGCAGCTAGGGAGTATTCACAAGCCAATCAAGGGTCTTCCTTACTTGAGCACCCACTGTGTGCTGTTTTCTTTCCCTGAGAATGTGAGGATATACTTTTAGGGGCTTAAATTAGCAATTATCACAATCTGCTTGGCTTGGCCAAGAGCATGGGTTCTAGAGAAATCCGCCAACGCCCTTTCCAAGGTCAAGAAGTGGGGTCAAGACCTGTGCACCGACAGGCCAGCCGGTCAGCTCAAGTTTCTGGACTCTCTGAGCAAACACAGCCTCAGAGTCTGGAGAACAGGGTTAAAGAGGCAGAGGAATGTGGAAGGGATCGCCCTCTGAATTGCAAAAACCTTTAAATATCTCTGAACTTTCTTTTTTCCTTTTTTGCTTTTGGCTCCGTGTAATGTTTTTGTGTTTAGTTTTGGTTGCCACGAGGGGACTGTTTTTAGCTGCCTGGTTCCTTCTCCTCCCCTTTTAATTTTCCCTCTTCCTTTGGTACATGCCCCAGCACGAAGTCTCCAATTCTTATCTCACTCCGCAAAACAGACCGGAGTTGATCTGCATATGAGTTCCCCCGGGCGGTTCTCTGGCGAAAAACTCCACAACATTCAAGTTTCTGCTTAACCCTTTTTGACTGGGCATTAACCCCTGAAATCCCGTTAGTCAGGGGCTTCCTGTTCGGGCTGGACAGGCATTCTCTTGCCTTTGTGTGGGGCCGAGATTTGGGTGCTGGGAGCCTTTCTTGACCCTCTGCGTGGCGCTACCCGTGCGTTTGGGCGAGTGCGCACGCTGCACACTGGGGGCAATAAGTCTGGGTAAAGTGAGAAGCAAGGGGACTCAGATGTTGACAACTTCCTTTGGTCCAGACCTTGGGGCTCTTCCTTGCCGTTTCTCTCAGGCGCTTTACGACTCTCCTGAGAGCCTAGGGGACTGAGTCCGGTAGACAGTGACTTTTGTTTGCCTGGGATAGGCGTTTCATCCAAGTGGGGCGTGGGGAGGTGGGCCGACTTCTCCCTGGAGAGTCTTATCGCTTTTAGGGTTTCAGTAAGAGGGGGAGGCGGAGGATGTCAGACTCAGAGCTCTGTAAACAACTGAGAGCGTTTCTCTCCAGGTGCGACTTGGAGATTGAAAGCTAATGATTAGAATAGCAGGAAGATGGGCGTGGGGGAGAGCACCACGGTCATGACCAGGTGCCCACGAAGCTCTGCGGACTTCTGTCCACGCTACCCTTCCATGGTTCTGAGGGAGCTGACCTTGCTGCTTGGGGTCTCGAGACCGTCGGCCTAGCCTTCCACTTGAAGACAGGACCCACCTAATAGAACGCCGGTTTAATCCGCAAAACAATAAGGATTTCTCTCGGGTTTCTCAGCGGTTTGGGGCGGGGTTCCTGTGTTCCCCCATCTCTCTGTTACACTATACAGAGGTGTTTTTTTATTCCATAGTAGACTGTAAAGAGATGAGGCAGGTATGAGGAGATCCCAAACGACTTTCATTTCTAGGCACCTGACATTCTTCGGGGTTGTGCTGACACGCCCGGGGTTTACCTGCCGGCAGGTCGGCTGGAGGCCGGGCGGTGGAGGTGTGGAGCGGGGTGTGGGCGTGGGAGACGGAGGGTGGGGCCCCGAGAGCCGTTACCAAGGCAAAACCTAAATCAAAACATTAGCCCGGCGCTTCCCGCGCGACGCTACTGCAATCCCGTCAGATCCTGGCAGGATCTAAGAGGATCCCGGGGATGGAACCACCCTAGGCTTCCCGGGCCAGCGAGGATGGGGAGACTCCGGGGGCCTAAATGGAAGGCAGGGGCTGTCAAGGGCGAGACTGCCTTGGACTGGAGGAACCCGGGTGCAGAGAACATGATTTTGCCCGAAGTGTCTGTCTCAGGGGACATCAGTTCCTTACGGTGTAATACCGTGTGTGACCTTTCCTCAGGACCGTAACCGTCCCGTTGGCAGGTGCTATGGGGTCAGCGGCACCCGTCAATTCTGCTTCTCAGCCCAAACTGCCACCCTGTGACCTTCTGAGCGCCTTCCTCTCAAAGGCAGGTGCTAACAGGTGCCTCTATCTTTACACCTCGGCGTCCTGGCCCGCATGTGTCCGCGAACGCCTCCCAGGCAGATGCGCGACTCCTGGGACGCAGCCGAGTGCACTTCTAACCCTTGATGAGCTATGGGGACCCTCCTGGGGTCCTGTGCTCAGCCCAGACCCTCGGAATTACTGGATCAGAAACGAGAAGCTATTTTCAGGATTCAAACCCAGGTCTGCTAAGGCCTTGGCCTGAAATTGACCCCCTACGCCCAGCCTTTCCCGCCACCAGATTTGAGGACGGAGGGCCCCAATGTTCTGGCTTTAAGCGGTGCGTGTTCAGTCCCGGCCACCGGGTCCCCAGAACAACCCTCTGTTCCTGTAGACAGACACTCGAAGCCTGGAGACGGGTTTCCACTAAATATTTCCTGACGTCCAGGCGGACCCCTGCCTCCCCCCAAGCCGAGCGAGTAGAGATCAAAGCGTCCTCTTTCCCGGACAGGCCGAGCCTTTTTTTCCAGCCCCTTCTTATCCCTGAGCTAGGTGGCCTCTGAGCTCTCCAAATCTTTCTTCTTTCTACGCTCTTGCTTTCGCGGAGAATTCCCTGTTCATTTAAAATGTTTTGTGGTTGTTATGAAAAAACAAAAACCAAAACCGAACTGACAGCGTCCCGTCACTAGCACCTCGGGTCCCTAGCGAGTTCGGGGGCCCCCTGCGTGTGAGCGGCCGCGGGCGTGGGAGCACGAGGCCGCCGAGTGTCTACGTTAATCCACAGCTGTTAGCGGGGGCCCGCGGCAGCGGAGGTCACAGTAGCGGGTAACGGTGTGGATTCACGGGAGTGTAACTTTGGGCACCTCCTTCACGCGCGAGATTGTCACCGCTACCCCTTCCCCCGCCCCCTCCTTAGGCTAGGCCGCTGGCCAGAGAAGGAGCCTTTTCCTGAAGTTTTAGAAAAATGACCACGCAGTTTAGAGAAAGGTCGTGCCCGCTTCCCAGCCTCACCTAGTCTGGGCCACTGCCAGGACCCGCCTCCCGGCAGCCCTCCCCCCCTTCCCCAACCTAGCGGAGGGAGAGATGCCAGCGCGGTGGAGTCATGCCGCTGGCTTGGGCACCATTGGCTCATGCCTGGAACACGCAGCGGCGAATACGCACATCTGGCGGTGCGCCCGGGCGGCTCCCGGCCTGATATGGAGATAGAGGGCGGGCGGGTGTGTGTGTCCCGGGCGTGCGAGGCGCGCAGGACGCTCCGTGACCGCCCCTTCTCGCACTTGCATCACCAGGTCCGCGGTCTCCACCCACCACTGGCCCCGCCCTCGTCCCCCCTTCACCCCCTCCTCTGGCCAGTTCTCCCTGGAAGCTATTAATAGCATTACGTCAGCCTGGGATTGGTAGTTAAGCGGGCTCCCTGCCAGCGCGAGGACTTTAAAAGGGGTGATGCAACGCGCTCCCAGCCACAGTCTCACTCAGCGAGACGCGCCGCGCACGGTGCTTCCCCGGCGGAGCCGACCGGCCAACCCGCGCTCCGGCACAGTCCTCGGCGCTCCCCCGCCGGCGGGACAGACCGCCCGCCTCTAGCCGCTCTCTGGACCCTGGCCGCCCCGAGTGAAGACTGGAGGTGAGCATTAGAGCCGCGCCGAGGAGCGCTGCCCTCCCCGCCCTAAGTTCCCCGCTAGTGACCAGTCCCGGGACCCTTGCGCCACTGGGGACCCGAGCCCTAGTTTCCGCCGCACAGTTTCGGCTGAGCTGCTCTTTGCCGCTGCCACTCCGAGCTGGGAAAAGTTTCTGGTAAAGTGAAAGAACGAACTTTCTCTTTTGACTTGAGGCGTGAAAGATGCCCAGGGACGGAGGAGATCCCGCGCTCTCAGCTTGCAACTAGGAGAGGTCATCTGGGTGGTTGGTGGGTGCTGGTGCGCGGGAGTGACCCACACTCTGGGGATCGCGGTCCCCTCCTCCATCCATCACTTCTTGTCCGGGCGCTGGAGTCCGAGCGGGTCCCGCCTAAGTCCGCGGAGAGACGCGGTGACCGCGGCTTGCTCCTGGTACCGAGCTAAATGAATGGAGAAGGGACGCTCGGTCGGCGGTCCGCCACAGCCGCTGGAGGTCGCCTTGCGCTCCGCCTTGGGCGGCTGGACCGCGTCGAGCCCTGCGAGCGAAAGTGAGTTGGGATAAGTTTGAAGGCGGCGAGCGCTGGTGTGGCGCTGTCCCGGGGCTGAAGGCCGAGAGGTCTCCGCACCCGCTAACGTCGGGCGGCTGGGCTTGAAACGTCACTTCCAGCCTCACTCGCTGTTGCGCTTTCTGTGTTCTGGCTGACTTTTAACTGGTCCTTGGATTTCTTTGTGTATTGGAAGTGAACCGAAGGAATCGGATCAAGCGGGTGGAGGGACCAGGGTGTGGAACCACTTGTAATTGTGTGTGTTAGGGGGATGGTGGGGGGGTGTTATTTTGTATTCTTGTGACAGAGTCTCACTCTGTAATCCAGACTGCCCGTAAACTCCGGGCAATTCTCCTGCCTCTGCCTCCCAAGGGCTGAAATTATAGGCCACCACGCCCAGCACCTCTCTGCCTGCGCTGTGTGGTTCAGGTAGCCAGGCCTTGACAGATTTGTTTCTAGAGTGAAATAACTGAAGTAAAAGAAGCCAGGAAGGGATGTTGAGTGTGGGGGCTCCCCACTCAGCGTTCCTAACCGCTCTCTGAGACAGGACGGGAAAGGGGACTTCTCTTGCATCTGTCTCCTAGGTCGCTCCCATTGGGTTGGTTCCCTGCTCCGTCCCCACGCTCATTTTCAACTCCCGTTTTTTTGTATGTTCCTCCTAGCCATTTTATTTTCTTTGATTTCATCCATCACGTAGCTCACGGGCTGTCTTGTAAATTAAAGGACTTGCCAAGCCGCGTTATTTAAAATGTTTATTTTCCCTTCCCGTTGTTTTACCTTTTTTGAGACAAGGTCTCCCTATGTAACCTGGGCTTGCTTTAAACTTAAGACAGTCTTCCAGCCTCAGTCCCCAAGTGCTGAGGTTACAGGCATGTGTCACCAAGAAGAGAGCACATGTTTTGCACGTTGCATTTGTTGTGGGCTAGTGCTCACATACAGGCTCTTGCCTGGGGTTGAGGCTGGGGTGGGGGTTGCTGTTGCTTCTGTCTGGAGCTTTCAGAGGCTGCTAACCAGGTGCCCAGAGTGAAGAAGACAGCACCCAACACCTGTGGCTATCTAAATTCCTTCTCAGGCACACCAGTTTCTTCTGTCTTCATTCTATCAGAGCCTCCTCTATGAGGGGTGCCAGGTATGGGACTCCAGTCCTCAGTTGCCTACCTGGCAAGCAGCTATGTCTGTGGTTGGTTACTTGGTTGTTCTGTTGAATTGATGGGTGCTTGTGGTAGTGCAGAGCAAGCAGGGGCTGGGTGTGAGCAGCTTGCTGGACTGGACCACACCCGTCTCTGTGAGTTTAGGCAAGTGCTTCCCTTCACCGACCTCAGTTTACTCAATGGCAAAATGGAGATTTGATCTAGACAATTCTAATACTGGGTGTACCGTGAGTCCCTTTAGCCAGAGTCTGTGATTCCTTAAGGAACTGGCTACAGAGGTGCCCTGTCAGGGGAGGGGGACATAGCCAGGACCCCACAGAAACTTCAAGAGAGTAATGGTTTCCTATGTGAGAACTCACAGTCTCTGCCAACCCAACCATAATGGAGGAGTGCTGATGTCAGCAACTAGGGTGTAATTCACCTGATGTCTTGGGAACTCAGGGGTCAACCACCAGTTGTGACAGATGGACTGACTTGAAATTCTCGAGGGTTCCAGTCAAGTTCTGACGAATAGAACTAAACTGAACTGAACTAAATCAGGTTCCTTCGAGAGGCAGGGTGGAGGTGGAGTAAGGATGGACATGTGGACGTTGATTTCCTTATGTTTTAAAGTTTGTGCATGTGACGTGTTACTCCCCACAGCCCTGGGAGGGAGTTGGCAATCTCGATCACATTTTTCAGATAGGAACTGAAGGTCAGAAAGCCTCTGGTTCGTGAGTGGATGCTCAACTAGTGAGAAGCAGAGATAGACCTGGGAGACACTGTCTCCTGAAGCCCAGCTTCCCGCCTCCAGCCTTCAAACAGGACAAAGAACAGGAAGTAGCCTTAGGGCAGCTAGCTATTCCCCAGTACTACAGGTCGGTTTGCAAAAGTGGAAATCAAAAGTGAAAATTCAAAGCCATCAGAAGCTCCTAGGAGATAAAAATCTAGGAGCCGAATTTCCAGTTAAATGAGGGAAGTTTCATTTTCTTGAAAATGACGAAATTGCCAGTGGTATGACATGATTTCTGATTGGAAGTCATGAAGCAGAATCTGGAAGCAAATCTGGAAGACAGTTCTATGATCAGTAGAAAGCTCACTCAGCTCATCCCAAACACTCCCCTCTTTGGGGCCTCAGCTCCTGAAATCAGGCTGAAGTTTTCAACTTTCTTTTCCTTGGAGGACACAGCCTGACTCTGTCTGACTCTCTGGAGACCTCTGTACAAGACAAACTAGAAAGGACAAGAGTCCAAATCTTACAGAGTGTGACCCCACGGTGATGGGAAAGGTTTTCTTAACAGCTTTACAACATACTTGTGTCCCTAAGTAAGCCCCGCCTCCAGCTTTTCACAAAAACATTCCATACCACTGACATTCCTCGGTTTCTTCCTGACTTTACACTAAGAATGTTGTTGGGGGAAGTCCTAAGCAGCAGACTTTAACCTCAAAGGGCTCATTAATAACTTTACTGGGCCACTAAAGGGGATGCTCAGCTGCTGTGGCTCAGACTAGTTAAGTATAGGTGAACTATTCAGTCCTACAAATGGCAGCTCCGGATTCCACCCTTACACTGTTGGAGGTGTTTTGTTTTTGTTTTTGTTTTTGCTTTGTTTGTTTTCCCAGTAAAACCAGAAAGGAGAACGTATAGAAGGATGCTGAGCCTCTGACTTCAGAAGTCAAAGAAACATCCCCTAGCTACAAGGTTACAGCATCCAATTAAGAGACCTTCAGTTCTTACTCCTGTCTGGGAGAGAATTGTATACATTTCTTGAGTTCTTTTGACTCAATAGTCACTGCCTGGAATTTCTGCCTCCACCAGTGGGCCTTAATCTCCAGGGAAAGGGATCCTGAGGAAGGGCTATTAACGTTAAAGAAGGTGACCAGACTCCAGGGAGTCTCCAGGAGAGAGCGGACATCCATCTGTGGGAGATGCTGGAGACCCAGCCAGTAGAATGTTTTCCAGGGCATTTCTTGTATTAATTCCCAAGCTGCTCGGAACAGTCTTAGGGAATTAGGGTACTCATTACCAGCCTTCCTTTGTAGAGGAGAAAACCACTGGGGTACTGTCACAACACATATCAAATCTTGATTTAAAAAAAATTCTGATAAGGGGATTTTATGGATAAAATGGCTCATTTAAATTTAGACCTGGATGTAGGCAGTAGCTGAATGTGAACCTGATACTTAAAGATCAGAATTCAGGAGATTCCTGGGACTCTTTGCTTCATCTCCTCAACACTGTTTTCTGCTTCAGACGCCCCGGGGGGGGGGGGGGGGGGGGGGGGGGGGGGGGGGGGGGGG